AAGAAAGAAAGAAAGAAAGAAAGAAAGAAAGAAAGAAAGAAAGAAAGCCACAAGCAAAAGTATGAGGTATAATTCCCCAAAAGAACTTGATAAACTGGTTTTAAAGTATTATGGAAGAGAGTAAAGGTCCAAAAAAGAGCCAAGAAATTTAAAAAAAAAAAAAAAAAACAAGTAGGGAGTCTTGAAATCCCAATTTTCAAAGTTGTATATGAAGTCATTACAAATAAAATCACTGATGTCAAAATAGAGCAAATCAATTGAAAAATAAAGCGTATGAGAGATGTGGGATACAAGTGACAGTTAAAAAAAATTGGGGAAAAATTCAACTCAATGTTAGAACTTACTAGCCTTTCATATTAATTAAAAAAAAAAAAGACCCCCTCTTTATATGGACCAAAGCAAAAAACAAAACAAATCTAATTGTGTCAACATATACATCATAAAAATGTGTAAACTGATGACAGGTATGTATGAAACATACCTATAAAATCTTAATCATGATACACCACATATGAGAAAGGGTCATATTTAAATACAAAAAAGGAGATATTCAAGAACCTCAAGAAACCTGTTGCATGAGAAAGAAGAGAAGATAGTAGGACTTGGAGGAAGGGATTAAGTTTCTAAAAAAAAGAAAATCAAAACTGGCATCATTTATATTCCTGGGTGGTAGGTAGATTTTTGCTATATTATTTGTTAAATGCTTTAAGTATTTTATACCATATATTTCAATAAGAAAAAAAAAAAGCTATAAGCTAAAAGCTAAAAGCAAAGCCCTGAGACCATGAAGAATTATGTGACCCAATCTTCCTACTTTATGAAAAATTTCCTAATATAAAATTGTGTGTCTGGTGAGATGGCTCTGTGGGTAGGTTAAAGTCCGTGTCATACAAGTCTGACACCTAAATTAAATCACTGGGACAAAAATGAAAAATTGAAAGAACTTACTCTACTAAATTATCCTCTGACCTCCACATCACCAGTGTGGCATTCCTATGCCCAAACACACATAACATCCCAAACACTACATAATATTAATAGTAGTAATTATTCAAAAAAAAAAACACTAAAATAAAATATAAAGTGCTAGGTATGTAGTTAAGTTATAGGAAGCTGCCTTGGGTTTAATCCATAGAACCATAAAAAGCAAATACTACTATTATAACATGACAATTTTAAGCAGAGTAAGTCTCTAAATAGTAAAGCTATTACGTCTTGACCTCAGATCAGTCTCAACTTCTCAGATTTATTTGTGTGAATTAGCAACAGATACAACACACATACACATACCATATACATACACGAACACACACACACTCCACCCTTCCTAAGAATGCCTTGTCAAATT